GGCCTCATTGGGTGTGCCATCAACGTTAAACACGGGTATGGCTTGAGACAGCTCGCGTGTGGCCCAACCGTTCTTGCGTACAAATTCTGCATCAATAAAAAGACCGGTCGCGCCACTATTGAGCAGAGCTTTGACCTGATAGGTCTTGTTGGTATCGGTGGTCTCGAGTTCAACCGGGAGTAGAAGGGAGTTTTGTGAGGCTGTGGCGGCAACGGTAAACGAGCGTGGTAGCTTCTTTTCCCAGCGTTTCAAACGGGGAAGCCTTTTTGGAATAGAGGGTGCAGAATCGGTTGGTAGTGTTGGAGAAACGACATGTATTGCGTCACAATCTACATGTTCGACTTCTAGTACCGAAAACCGATTGCGCAGGGGCAGGGAGTGTGCACCACCCCTCACCTGCCTTGCGTAAAATCCTCTTCGACAGCGGGAGCATCCGCAAGAACCATCTCTGGTGCTGCAGTGCCAGCCTGCAAGTCCTCCATGTCACGCTGTTGGGCGCGTGCCTGAAGCTCTTCTTCGAGTTCGTCAATGGTCAGGTGTCGAACATCGAAGCGGTTAGGACACTGTGCCTGTACGTGGCCAGGTCGCTTGCACCGGAAGCACACCACAGGGGTGTCACGACGCTGACGTGCAGCGTCAACATCCATGGGAATGCCCATCGGTAGAGGCTTCATATGGCTACTGCCTGTCGCAGGCGTGTGACTAACGTTTGTGGCAGTGGTGGTACTACGTGGGACCGTAGTTGTCATGGGAGAGAAAGTACGAAAGCCTGACGCGGGTGCCGTGGTACGTGTACTAGTGTTAGACGGTGACGCGGTTTGTGTCTTCGAGAAAACACCAAAGCGGAAGGCTTGGTTGGACTGACGATTGAGGTCGAGGCGTTCTGCTGCTGCTATCCACGCGCTGAGATCGTCCTCCTTAGGTACACCCGTAGCACTCTCCGCAATGCTGTTCTGGATCTCCGAAGACAGACCGCGGCGGAAGCGCATGACATTAGAGTATCCATCGCTTTCGTACCCTGCGTGATGGACGAGAAGTTGGAATCCGTCAACGTAATCGCGAACTGAGCCTTTGCCCTGATGATACTGCGTAGACTCGAGTTTATTGCGTGCTTCCATCGCTTCGTTCACGGGATAGAAGTCTTTGCGAAATTCCAAAAGGAACTTCGGCCAAGAAGCGTACGTTGCCTCGTCTTTCTGAAGGTTCTCGAGGTAACGATCGCGCCAGTAACCTGCGCGTCCCTCCTGCATGAATGACAGTACAAAGCCTATCCGTACACCTTCGTCCTCAAAGTCCTGACGTAAGAGGCCGAAGTAAACTTCACACGAGGTGAGGAAGTCACGCCCGTGATCGCGTGAGCCATTGAAGAGCTTAGGCTGAGCGGGACGGATACGTCTAGCCGGCGATGTTTCTGCTTTGGGTCGAGCAGCGTCCTGAACTGTCAATTCTGATATACGCTGCTGAATTTGGTCTAGTGTTGTCTGAAGATCTGTAATGCGAGCATCCGACGATTCTTTGTCGGTTGTGAGACTATGCTCTATGTGAGCAAGACGCGAAACGATATCGTCCATAGTTTTATGATGTGATAAATGCGAAGATAGATGTGGGAAATAGATGGACAGGGCCGGGGGCGTATTCTGCAACGTTAAACCGAGCGTGCGAGGCTCAAGGTACGTGAATCAGAATAGCTGGCGGCCAAAGAGAGATTTGTTCTTCTGTAAGGGCAACTCTGCGGTCTGGCACCACGTGCTTGACGGCTAGCAGAGGGGAATCCAAAGTATATATTAATATATGTAAGAGACAGATCAACTGCACTGCTTACCTAGCAGAGGGGAATCCAAAGAGAACAAATCTAAGGAATCCCCCTGCTAGACCTCCTCCTTATATATGTATGAAGTATGACGGTCAGCCTGCTGAGACCGTACTAAGAGAAACTAACAACCACTAGCCTAGCTGACAGGCTATAGTATGGTTGGTACGCTCTAGCTCTGCTAGTGTGCTTGGCTGTGACTAGTGCAACTAGTGCAGCTAGTGTGCTTAGCTGACAGCCCTAGCTGAGATCTGCTGGCCAGATCCCCTAAGAACAAGGATGGAAAGGTACGAAAGGGAAAAGGGGCTAAGAACGAAAACAGAAAGGTATGAAAGAGAAAAGGGGCCTATCATGTGATGCCTAGGGGTTCGAATAGGGGGTTCCCCTTACAGGATGATGTTAAGAGCGGAATGACTTGCAGACGCACACCGCAAGTTAAGCGACTGTTATTCAAAATATGATGAGTTGCCATACTATACCTGGGCAGCAAGTGAGTTTTACCATGCATTTCTCAGTCACCCTATTCATCAGTTTCAGTTCTCGATCCTCGAATTGGATACGAGCGCTTGCGTGAGGACTATGCGGACGACCTGGCACTCCTTGAGTATCTCGAGAACTCGAAAGAGGACCTCCATGCCACCTGTACATCCCAATTGTTATACCGTACTAGACCCAATGAATGGGTCGTACCACGCACCTAATTTGACGGCTTTAGGCCAAAAGTCCCTGCAGGCGATAATAATTGCCAAGTGTTGTGGTCCCGAATGTAGTAAGTCCCCACGAGTCAACAGAATTCCCACCCGCGCTGGGTGTTTCCCACACAGCCGCACATCGCCGCATATGGCCGCCGGCATCAGCACCGGCTAATAAACCCTCGTGCTCATTGTTGCGCACAACGAGCTTGATATCTAGGTCTCCCTGCCGCTACAGCTCCAAAGAAGACGTGATAAATTGTAATAAATTATATATACCTACATCAATACATATATAATGATTTTTGAGCAGTGACAAGCTCTTAAAATGCGATTTTCTGAATGCACCCAGGGTAAAACAAATTCCTATGAAGTTTTGACAGGTTTATATGTCCAGCAAGTAGTAATACATTGTACCAGAGGTACTCCAACAATGAGCACGAGGGTTTATTAGCCGGCGCTGATGCCGGCGGCCATATGCGGCGATGTGCGGCTGTGTGGGAAACACCCAGCGCGGGTGGGAATTCTGTTGACTCGTGGGGACTTACTACATTCGGGACCACAACACTTGGCAATTATTATCGCCTGCAGGGACTTTTGGCCTAAAGCCGTCAAATTAGGTGCGTGGTACGACCCATTCATTGGGTCTAGTACGATATAACAATTGGGATGTACAGGTGCTCCATGCATATTTCTTAAAGCATTACAGTTGGTCCAACGTGCAACGCCGTTCTGATGTCACCACATCAGCTCATTGCCCGCGCCTCGTCGCCCTGCTCACCTCAAAAGATGAAGTTCACCTCTTGGTATCAGGTCAAGGAGCGTGACAATCTTGATCAGTTTGTTGAGTTCCTCAAGCTCCCGCAAGAGAACTTTGACACTTGTGACCCGATCAAGTGGTGGGCCGGCCGCGAGTCTCTGTTTCCAGATCTTTTCCGGCTTGCGCGAGACATTTTCACCATACCCGGTAAGTGTTTTCTATTTCAGTGTGTGCTATTCTCACTTTTGAGCTTTATAGGTTCCGCTGTCGCTGTCGAGCACATCTTCTCGGGCGGCCGAGATACCATTTCGATTCGTCGCGCTAGCCTGAAGCCAGACACTATCAGAACCTTAATGATAGTGAAGCAGCGCCTCAAGCTAGCTCGTGAGGCGGTCAAGGAGCTGCTAGGCAATGCATAAAAACAATATATTCCTCATATCACTCCGTACGTACCGTAACCTGCCGTACCGTACCCGTAAAGTAGACTGTACCGTACCGTCGAGCCTTTGATACTTATGTCATACGGGACGGTACCCTGCCGTACCGTACCCGTCAATAACCCGTAAATCTTACGGCTGTACCCGTAAACGGGTACGGTGCACAGCCCTATGTGGAATGGTGAATATGTGCAAATTCATCCAAAGGGAGCGCCGGCCTCATTACCTCAAGCTGTGGACGGCCTCCGCGAAGGCCATCTGGTCGAAATACCAGGTCATCTCGTCATTCCCATAAATCTTGGCCAGGACCCGGTTTCTCTGCTTCCCGATTCCGCGATCAAGCGCAAACTCAATGCTCGGGTCCAGAAGCGTCTATCGCCATCGTCATTTCCCACAACCCGCTCAATCTTGACGCCAATGAGTTCCGCATCTTAACGCTTTTAATGCTGATATACGTAGAAGGCCCCTGTTCCTCAAGAAAAGGTTCTACGTCGAAACACTGCGGGAGCCAACTTCGAGCCAACTTCGACCTTCCTCTGCTCAAGCTTTCGATGACCCTCAATGCACAATTTGTGCTCAACCACAGTCTCACCGACGCTCCTTCCGTGGTATGGTCCCTTATCCGAGCAGGGAGGACATGCTGTCGCTGCAAGTTACGGTAAGTACCTACCTTGGACTCTGCTATTCCGCAACCAACCGTCTTATGCTCAACATCGCTTTGCCAGTGATCGTACGGCTTGTATTCCAGCTGATTGAAGATACTTCGCGCGTCTCCTTCGCAAACGAACTCTCCACTACCCCAGACCAATCTGCACCAAGCATGTTGAATTGTCATCTCAAAACGCGATTCCTCTTCCCGCTCTGATACGAGCGTCGTCCGCATTCCCGTCCTGCATCCCCCAAGCACGACTATCTATACCGATCGTCATTTTCGCGCTCGCGTCCCTTCCGATCATCTTCCAGCACGTTTCCTCGTATTGATTGCCCCGCCCTCGCTTCGTGCCTGGGTCTACTATCTCCTGTGCTCGCCTTTAACGGGGTGATGCAGGCGCTCGTCGCAGGGACATCCATGTCGTCAAGTAAAGCAGGTGCGTCTTTTTTCTCATTTATACTAGTTCCATCGGAACATTGACATGTAAATGCAGGTGGACGATGTTGTTCTCTGCGATCTGTATATCCACCGCCATCGCGCTCTATCAACTCGGCTACGGGGACGTATTGCTCGTGTACGCCAACATCGTCGACGCAGCGTTCTTCGCGTCCCACTACTTCCGTCGCCAAGCCGAACACCTCGCCTCCCAATGCGAGACCCCGCCGCGCCTGCTCAACAGGCACCTCATCCTCCCCGACGCACTTCGCGTCTGTTTACGTTGGCGCTGAACCAAGCCCTCATCCGGCGGCTGGCGTCGCCGCCATCCAATTCGAATTACTTCTCGGCACGATTCTCCTCCTCAATCGCGAGGGCGTCCGTCATGCTCTATTACGCACCCCCCAAGAGCGCAGAGAACACGGGCACAACACCACCTTCTCTAGGTGTCGCGTCGGCGAACCTCGCGTTGGTTCCACTGTTACTCAGCCTGCCATTGACGGTCATAGCTGCAGTCGGATACACAGCTTGCGCACCTACGGATATCAAGTTCAGCCTGGATTCCGGGGACGGTTACGATGTACGCGTTGGCTGTGTTGTTGGAGCTGGCTTGTGAGCCAGTGCATAATCGGTACGCCCATCGTGCTCTATACCCCGATTTTACGACTGATATGGTCTGTACTCTATACAGCTCCGTCATCGAGCTGAAAACTGCCGTGCGTGTCCGCGCCAAAGGCCTTGGAGTTGGCGCCAAGTCGCTCATGACCTTTCTCATCCTCTTTTATGACTCCAGACTGTCCACCAAACCGCCTGGTTACTTCGCCCTCTTTGCCTTCGCTGGCGGCCAGATGGCATATAGTATCGTGCTCTTTGTGACGGACGCGTACTCGTACCCAGACACCTTATCCCGATTTCGCTTGATGAAGTTATGGTGCGTTCGTCGCTTGATTTGGATGCATTCTAATGCTGATCCATCTCATAGAAATGCACCTGTAGCTCAAGAAAAGGCTCTTTGTCGAAACTCTGTGGGAGCCTACTTCGATCTTCCTCTCCTCAAGCTTTCGATGATTCTCAACGAGCAATTTGTTCTCAAGCACATTCTCACCGAAGGAGACAAAGTCGTCCTTTCGTGCTATAGCCCCATGGCTGAGCAGGGAGGGTATGCTCTCGCTGCAAATTACGGTGACATCAGCAATCCACGGTTTTTGGTCTTAGCTGGGGCCCGATTTTGCAGCGCTGCTTAGGAGTGCTTAGCGAGGGATTTGAGCGTTAGCTCTCGTTAGACAGGGGGTAACTACTTAGTGCTCGGGAGATATGGGGTAAAATGTTAGTCAACATCCTGCTCTAGAGATCATATTATGATTGGCTTGTGGCTTGCCTTCCAGTTTCGCCATGGCTGACTGCGCACAAAAACGGCTGTCCTAGAGCGTGAGAATGAACACGTATGTGGTTCGACTTTCGTTCAACTTGAACTTACTCCTCTGTCCTCGCCATATGTACTTCACCCCGACCTCCCTCACAGATACCTTAGCGGCCGCACTGGCTGGTGTCTGAAAGATGTTGATCTACGCCATGTATGTTCGTTCCACTCTCCGTGTTCACAGCTCTATGCTTTCCAGCCTTCGTCATTCCGCCGCAGGCGGGCTAGGGTTTACCCCATGAAAGCACGGTCCTCAAAGGCCTTGCAGGTGCGTTATCCACCCCTCGCTAATTTCAAACTCACTCAACGGGTCTTTTGGTAGCCTCCGTCACCCCATTGTCAGTGTCACCCCGTAAAACCAGCTGTCGACGAGGCCTACAAAGGCTACTCAAACTTCAGTACAGGCTGTCTGCGCATTTGCCTTGCGTCCACTTCAACATTCCCTGACTTTGTCCAACCAATGTGGCGCCGTCGGGCCTTTCTCATTCCTCCCGATACGAATTCGGCATGGACAGTTGTGGATACAGATCCTCGATATGCGTCACAGGCAATGTCGTCCTTGGTAAGTCCTATTCACGTTTGAATGGATTGTGTATGTTCGTTGTTGACCACGCAGTTGCAGGCGTACTCATCTCCTTTCGTGCGCTTTGATGGATTATGCTCTCGATGATGTCTGTACCAGTCATGTATCATAAGTAGCACGAAATCATAATAAATTTACTTCCTCGTTCCATACCTAACCAATCGGAGTGAGCAGTCACTAGTCACTATGGCTAGGAAAGCAGAACAAATGTAGCATCCAGTATGTCCGTCCTGTATTTCTTAGCTCTCGTTAGGGACTCCTTAGCTCGCTGCATACTCCAGTAGCCCTAAGGATGTGATAAAAAATTCAACGAGTGCTCAGGAGCACCCCACCTCGTCTAAGCGGCTAACAGGCTAAGAGGTGCTCGTTAGCCCTCGTTAGCTCTAACGTTTGCACCCTCGGATTGCTGATGGAGCATCTACCTCGAGCTCTGCTGCCGCACAGTCACCTGTCTTACACTGATCATCGCTTTACCAGGCTCTTTAATCGCCCGACTAGTTTTTCAACCTATCGAAGAAACTTCGCGCGTCTTCTTCGCAAAGACGCTCTCCGCGACCCCGGGCCAATCTGCGCCGAAGACCATCAAAGATGAATCGGCATCAGATGAGCAGCAAAACTCGATCTCTCTCCCTGCTCTCAAGCAAGCGGCGGCATTCCTGTCGAGCATCCTCCAAACGCAACTATTTCTTGCCATGCCGATCATCGCTTTTGGGCACGTGTACCTTCCGATCGTACTCTCCTTCCTCCTTCCTGCACGCTTCCTCGCAACGAGCGCCCCGCAACGCCTTTATGCCTGGGTATACTACCTTCCCGTCTTCGCCGTCAACGGGGTTCTGGAAGCCTTCGTGGCAGGGACAGCCACAGCCAGGGATGTCGTCAAATAATGCAGGTGTGTATGTTTTCTTGATTTACACTGATTGGAACAGGCTATTGACATACATATTCAGGTAGATGATGTTGTTCTCCGTGATCTACATATCCGCGGCCATCGCGCTCTATCAAATTGGCTACGGCGACGTATCCCTCGTGTACGCCAAAATCGTCGGACTCTCCATGCGGATCCTATATGTGGCGCTCTTCGCGTCCAACTACTTCCATCGTACTCTCACCTCCACCAGCTCGACTCGGCCACGCCTGCTCACCAGGCACAACATCCTCCCCGACGCCAGACTCCTGTTGACATGCGCCACCGCGCAAGGCATCGTCACGTACGGCCCGCGGCGGAGACAAATCGCCCAACGCGTCGCGGCTGTGATGCTCGGGCAGCAAAGCAAAATGTACTTGCTTTCTCAGCCTGTTGTGGTGCATGTCGGGTTGGGAGGGGTCCTGGCGTTGGCGTGTTTGGCGACGTGTAGGTGTGCTCAGGGAGGCATATGGAGATTTTGCGGATGCGGAGGGAGGAGAGGGAGGGGAACGAGAAAGCGCAATGATATTTATGGACTACGTTTCGGGATCGGATCCTGCTTTGTACGTCCGTGCTCGCTGTTCCCGGTTGATGCCATCTCTGAGGCCCTTTTTGACGGAACTTAGTGCTGATATTTTTTTGTAAATTATGGTATCCATGGACATCGATGACATCTTTAGAACAACTGAGTACGTCGTAAAACAGCGGCCGTCCAAACAGTTTGCGCACAAGTTGTGGTAGGTCTTGTGGGTACAGTCGTTCCAAACGAGGATGTACCAGAGATGTACGATACCATATTGATTCAACTTCCTTAGCGCAGCCTATTCACGAGCTGCGCGAATTGATGGAGCGCGGGACTTACGAGTTGCAGGGCTTTCTATCGGCTCTTGCGTTTCTCGTTCATGACCATGAAATTCCTCTGGCATTGATTGAGGGCAAAGAAATAATTCGCGTAGTCAAAAAAGTGTAGGTTTAGTCCATTGCTGCAATAAAGGAATATCGACTCACAGCTTGTAGATCGCCCATGATCTACAGAACATCTCCATCACGTCCGTCGTCCAATGATGAAGCGGTCGACAAACACATCCCAAGTTTACCGGTACCTCATGCATGAAGGCTGCGTGTAAAGGGAAGTGCCGCTACTGTTATGTTCATGGGATGAACTCTGTTCACCTTCTTAGCCGCAGCGCGCTCTGCTAAACTTTCGCTGTCATTGGGGCATTGCGAAAAGAATGGCGAAAAGTACTCCGCTAAACTTTCGCTGTCATTGGGGCATTGCAAAAAGAATGGTGAAAAGTACTCACCTAAATGTACCACTCATGATGTTTCCAACATGATCACCCACCAAGCACGAAGACCAAGTACGGGGATCAAAACGCGCATGCAACCTGGTATGCTTAGTACAACAAAGTTGACTATGGCGAGATTATCACATAGGAGAATGAAGGTCTATAGCGGTCCGTTTGTACATTTAATCCCGCACTGCCGCGCTGCACTGAGATTTTGAACTGCGCTGCGCTGGGGTATGTGATAGCGCTGCACTGGGACAATTCAATGCGCTGCGCTGAGATAATTGAATGTGCGGTGCTGGAGGTGGATGCCGTGTTGTGCTGCGCGCTGAGAAGTCGTTGCTGTACTGCACTGATCTGAGCTCTGTGACTGCACTGAGAGTGCTGATACACAATGTTATCAAGGGATTAAAGGCTTACCTCCGAGTTGATTCTTCAATTAACTACAAGTTTTCAAGCTTCAAGTCCAAGTCGGACTCGATTGGAGTCAGATTTGGACGTGCCTTGAACTTGATTGTCGGCCATACATGGGACTTGGGTATTTGTACGAGTTGATTACTTCATGGGGAGTGTATCTTAGGGTCTTCGTGTCTCAAAACATGGTCCAGTAAAGGCAGAGCGGAACAAAGAGAGTTGTAAGTGGAGTTGTAGGAAGGAATGATTGAACCCGAAACTTGTCGGAGCGGTTGGAGCAACGAAATCATAATAAATAATAGCAACGAAATGCCATGTACGGTAATGGATGAGAATGAAATTAAGTAAGGAGTGACTGATGGTGATTGGCATTAGTAGATATAAATTGAGGACGGGATGAGAACACTGGTCGAGACGGCGGTGGCAAAGGGATTGAGCTAAAGCGCTCACATGGCATTAAAACCATGGCTTGTAAGCGGGCATCGCAGGACGCGCAAAGCCCTTCTTGACGGAAGATGAAGCGACTGCAAGTTTCCTTTGTCCCAAAACCCTGTTTGACGAGCGGCTGGCCCAAGACGACGGTCCTGCTTCGCGAAGAGGAGACCCTGGCACGGAAAACAGGTAAAGACCTGATGGTGATGCAGCAAAGTTAGCAGGCTCACTTTTGACACGTTTTGGGGCAGGTGCATCATTCTCGCTTGCATTGTCGACAGATAGCTGAGTGTTGCTTCGAGCACGCTTTGGGCCTATTAATCAAGGTTAGTAAATCGACATCCAAGTCATGGGTCGCTGACCGATGACTCACCTGCAATTGACTCCATAGGTACCTGCAGAGTATTGAGCTCGTCCGCTCCATCAGCAGGATCCACCCAATCCGCCATGTCCCTGACAGACTCATCAGCTTGGACATCGTCGTCATCGAGGTTCACATTGTCTGGCACACTAGGCTCGTCATCATCTGAAATTTCGATATATGCCGCGGCACGCGCCACACTGGACATCCTTGGACGTAGGCGCAATAGGACAGGAGGAATGTCGTCTTCATCCTTGGATTTATCGGAGTCGCTGCTTGAAGGGTGTGGTAAGAGGTGAAAGTTAACTCCAAACAAGACACGACAACTGACTAATCAGTGCTTGCAACAGACTTCGTCGCAGTAATATACCCGGAGCTGCAAATTTAAAGTCCGCTGGCATCCACCGGCCCGCACAGGCTCCCACCGTTGTTCAGTGAACTTCTCCATGATTTCGATGGACATCCTACTGGTGGGTGGTGGATATCGCTGGAGTACAACACAGAGCACCATATCAGAGTGACATTCAGTGAGTTCCAGTGTATCATAGTGCAGAATATTATTTTTCTTCTAAGTTCACTCAGTTTACTGTTGTCCATTGGAATCCACCAACATTCAATGAACCACAGCAGCCAGTCATACTGTACTGTACTGTAGTCCACTGGACAATGGTGAATCTCAATGGAGTTCACTCACGTACAATGCATGTTCGTAGTTGGATTCCAGTGTACAATAATGGAATCCGCTGTTGTACAGTGAAACTTGAAACTGTATCTCACTGGCATCCACCGGGATACAATGTACTGCAGTAGAATTTGTAACTGTATTTCACTGGCATCCACCGGAATACAATGTACTCCAGTAGAATTTGAAATCGTACTTCAGTGACCTCCAGTGGATTTCACTAGCACCCACTAGCATCCGCCGAAACTGAGTGGACGAAGTCCACTCTCCTTCGCTGGATTCCATTGAACCCTAGTGGTATTTGATGAACTTTGAATAGATTTTGGATAGTAAACCATGTAATACAGGGCTACATATTTACCCAAAAGTCCTCTGGAATATGCTGATTCTTTTTATCTATCCGCTCTTCGACTGCCTCCTTGTAGAGCATAAACAGCACATGAACATAGAAGTCATAATTGACATCCGTCATTTGCCGTAGTTGAGCTTCAAACCCATCCATCCATGAGTTCAACTGCTCTGCGGTCTCCGTATTGAATGCTCGGGTTGTGTGCTTATTACCGTTTGCGTCTTCTTGCATAATCAGCAAATCGGGCTGAGAGCCATTTGCTGGAGCTGGATTACACCAAATGCGACACAAAACATTACTTGCCTAGATCAACAGGATCAATGAACAGCTAGCATAATCAGAAAAACTTCACTTACCTGGTGACCAATATAATGCCACGCATCGACAATGAACTTGGTGGACTTGAGCCAGGGGTCCCCAGCATTTTGAGTGACAATATGGCGGAGAAGATTGCAGGCATTATCGTATGCGATGAAGCCAGGCCTGGAGCCATGAAAGTCCTCCCAGATTGCATTCAGAATTGAAAGAACCTGAGAGGGGCTTTCTGACCAATAACACTTTCCCCATCCGATGGGAATACCACAAGCCCACTGAACTGTTTGAAGACAGTATATCGAGCGAGCCCGAAAGGTGTGCACCACATCTTCAGCTGCTACCTCACCAAGGGAAGGAAGCTGCACTTCCAGAGATGGCCCGGAAGGGCGGCGACCTGCATCGTTCTGCTCCTTCTGACGGCGGATAACTCGGCGAACACCAGGGTACGAAAGTCTCGAAAAGCGGGTCTCGTACTTCTGATGCCATTCCATGTGGGCAGGCAGATCGCATGTGAGGGCACCAGCAGTACGAACAGGACGGCCGCATGGAATGATACCACAAATATTGACCATGTGAAGATGATCACTACAAAAGCGCCCATTCTTGTAGTTCACCAGTGGCTTGCAGCATTCACTGATGGCGCAGGTCTGTTTCCCCAAAGCATGGCGCGGAATGTGCTGTGCACTGAAGAGCTGCCGCTATCCAAGCAAGGCAAGGGCGCCCGCCATGTGTCATATCTTAATCAGTCGAACGTCCGCTCGGCTGTCGAGCAATGGATTAAAGGTGTTATACCTGTCGACAAAGGAGGATTTGAAGGCTGGGTGCGTCGCTTTGTTCTATTCCCCATATTGCACGCCCACTAAGTTCTTTTACTCTGTTCATCAGATGCGACCTGCAAAGCTTTCACGCTTTGTTAATCAGTTTCTATTCCCGTCGCTGAGGATTGAGGACACGGTTAGTGAGTCAACTGCCGTGCAATGGTTGAAGAGACTTGGATTCCGGCTCTGCCGTGTCCAAAAAGGGGTTTATGTTGATGGCCACGAACGTGACGACGTTGTTGCCGCACGTAAGGAGTTTATCGATTATATTTATACGCAGATTCTCCCGTGAGTGATGAACAATGATCTGTTGCCATTAGAGCTTTACTAAATTGTCTAACTCAGGAAATGTTATACTTATGACGGACCAGACATGGCTCCTGTAGCGCCGTCATTACAAACCGGCGAAAAGATTCATTACCCAATTTTTCATGACGAGACTTGTGTGCATGCAAATGACCAGGTTAATTTCGTATGGATGCGGGATGGTGAACAAACTCTTCGAGACAAGAGCCGTGGACGCATAGTCCATGTCTCCGATTATATTATTGAACATTGCGGGCGCCTTTGTCTATCCAAGGATGAGATTGCAGCTCAGCTCAAGCTTCCAGAGTGCCCGCATCCACCGCAGCAGCCTGTCTTGCCAATTTCTGCAGCACCATCAACCCCTGCTCCCGCTGCACCATCAGCACTGGCTCCCGGCGCACCTCCAGCTAGTGCAGCGGCCGAGTGGCCCGTCACCGCGCCAGCTGTTCACGGCACATCGGAGAAGGAACTTCCTGTTGCTGCAACAGCAACCGCAAAAACAAAAGGGAAAAAGACAAAGACAACGAAGGCCAAGGCAACGAAGAAACCGAAGCCTCCAGTAGTCAAGAAGCCAGTGGGAGGTCGCACGTTTGCAGAGCACGAGTGGATCCCGCCGCCGCCCCCTGCGCCCTTTACTGGGTATCGGCTCGAAAGCTTTGCTCGCCGAATCATTTACCCAGGCGCCAAACATGACCCGTGGTGGGATATGCCTCAATTAATCACACAGGTAGGTAACTTTTGATCTGAGGTCTGCAATTGCTAAAGTACAAGTGACGGGACTACTAGACTAAGGATGCAATCAAAATCTTCGAGGCAAAATTCCCTGACGGCATTGCGGTATTTATTTTTGATTGTTCCTCAGCCCATGCCGCGTTTGCATCCGACGCGCTTCTGGCCCACAAGATGAATCGTAGCCCAGGTGGGAAGCAACCCAAAATGCGGTCCACTGTTATACCGTCGAACGGGCAGTCGCAATCAATGGTTTTTTCTGACGACTACAAGGGGAAAGACAAGGATGGAAATCCACTTGCTGGACAGGCAAAGGGCATGGAACAAGTACTTCTTGAGCGTCGCCTTCTTGAGCCTCTCACACAGAAGTATGGTAATAAATTGGTCGGTGTATGCAAGACGTGCCGATCTTCCCAGGAAGCGCGGGATAAAGCGCTGCAAGAAGCCAAGGCCAAAGAAGACGAGATCGAGGGCTCGGGCATGGCAGCGTTGAATGAGCGAGGTGTGTCGGACACAGAGGAGGAGGATATTGCACGGCCCGGTGACTGCTGCATGCAACGAGTTCTGTCATTGCAAAAGGACTTTCAGACGGAGAAACCATTGCTCCAGCTGGTCATCGAGAAGGCTGGGCACAAGTGTCTCTTCCTTCCGAAGTTTCATTGTGAGCTCAACCCGATCGAGATGGTTTGGGGTCAGCTCAAGCGACGTAAGTTTTCAAAGTAGTATATCATTGAATTTGCTAACATGACTTGCAGGATTCCGCGAGATGACTGATGGTACATTCCCGCGTGCTAAACAACTTGTGCCGGAATGTCTGGATGTCATCACGAAGTCAAACATTCGTCGGTATTTCCGGCATTGCTGGAGAAACATGGATGCTTACAAGTGAGTAGTAAAGGGCCGTAAATCAAATAAGGTGCTAATGAAAACACTAGAAAAGGACTTAATGTGAAGCAGGCTGCATACGCAGTCAAGAAATACACCTCCCATCGTCGTATTCCGGCCACGGTAATGATGGATGTCAATATTATTACACGCGGGACGATTGCCTGACGTAGTCAGGGTCCTATTACCATATACGGAACCCTAATATTATGTAATAGGGTTTGTTTCACTTTTACGAGGCCAAGAAATGAAAAAGTTGTCCGATGGACTTGAAAAGCACAACACAACTAGCTATAGCTTTCCTTACTCTATTCCAAGTGTTTTTATCACTTTTCATTGCTTTGGGTAAATGCTATTCAAGTTGCGGCATTTTAAAATCTCACCTGCCAAATTCGGGTCGAGAGGTGGTGACAGGCACTGTAGCGGCATGGAAAATCGCGCCAGGGAATCAAGTTGCTGACGGGCGCCCAGTGAAACATGCGACTCCCGTGCGTAGCGTGCGTAGCGTGCGTAACACCTTGTCTTGGGCAGGCACGGCTCGCGCTCCGCCTCTACTTCGTCAACCACCGTCCGGGCGATTGAAGATGATTTAGATGCACAGTGGTTGGACCGCGAGGGATGATGGTTCAGACAGCACGCGTCTCGCGATGTTCCGAGCGTGGCGAGCGTGATCCGCTTGACTAATGAGAGTACGACACGTACACAAGATGTGATTCCAGGTGATCGGAGCGATGTATTCTGGCGACAGTCATTACGCGTTTGCGGGGAGAAGCTCTGTGGTTGTGTCACTGTGCGCACACTATTGAAGTAAGGCGCCTGTGGGGGACTGCAGCGTGCCATCATTCCGATCGTATCGAACAACAAGTTGAAAACCCAAAGGCAGCGGTCTGAAGTATGCATCGACACGGAGGGGTGACCTCACGCGTTTTCGACCCAGCCTTTCGTGACCGAGCCTGGGGCTTCTGGAGAGCGCTCATGGTAAGTACGTGCGTTCGAGAAGCAGTACGACAATTTGGACTCACGAAGTTGCGTTTAAGGCCACCGTTAACGGCTTTGGAAGGATTGAGTAGTTGCAAGCGCGCGCAACGAGCTGCTGCAAGGAGGCATGCGTGAAGTTTTGACCCGCGCCCGACGAGTCTACGAGTTTTGGATGGACAGATCTGGGGGCTAGGCGGGACCTTAGGCGGTGGGCAAAGGTCCCACCGGGAAGATGGCTGAGGTTGGTCCTCCCGCTCGCCTCAAAGCCTTTGGCGATGTGTTCAACTTCTGCGAACATGCCTAACCTCTTGCCCTCAGATGTCTAGCAGCCGTGCGTATGCTCGATATGTCACGCGCGGGCCTCACTGTATGGCTTTGCCGTCGAAAATGAATGTTGCTGGGTCCGCCGGCCGTTTTTCACAGCATGCTATTCAGGATGTTAGAGTACCCAAGCAAGCGCAGATCTGCAACCACGCACCTATGACCAGGGTATAATCGGGGTGATCAGGAGAAATAGAACATCTTCTCCCTTCCCAACGATGGAGACCACTTCATTGGTTGAGGCTGCTCGGCACTTCCTTGGGCAGAAGATCCTAAGCACCGGGGAGCACTCCAAGCACCAAGCACTCATGCCACTCATGCTAGTGCCATCGAGCATGGCTGAAGCCGGGATGGATGGGACAGCTGGGATACGTAAAGAAATATAAAGAAGCTTGAGGTGATGCAAAGCCTTGGAACTTGAAGCTTGAACTTCAAGATGAAGCGAGCTCGCATCGATCTCATCCCTCGCATCCCTCCCTGCGGCTCCCTGCTCAGGTTGCCATGGCTGCTCACGTAAGTCTAGTATTCGCCAAGCTTCGCCAAGCGAGTTCCGGCCACTTCAGCAATTTCACTTGAATGACTTAAATCTCTCAAATCTTTAGAATACTTTGAATCCTTTGCTTAAAATTTAAAATGTTTGAATTGCTTACATTAAGTACTCAACCCGCAACATGCTAGGCGTGCTGTCAGGTTAATTATCTGACTTATCTTTAACCTCATACTCAGGTTTCTTGCGTATAATAAAGCGGATATACCGGATATACACAGATCTGGCGAGGGCTCCCTCGAATTTGCCATAAACTTTGAACATGATACACGGCAGAATTATCCTCCACAAATCTCCAAGTGGAAGAACTTTACACCCAACCAAAGCTAACTTACGCTCTCCTCCTCAATTGAATGTCCACTGATGTTTTCAGAGATCATGCCTCGATCGATCTAATCCTCAACGGCAGTGGTCAGGCAGAGAACCTCCGACGCTAGATGCCCGAGCAGCAGTGACTTCAGATTGCCTCATCCCTCTGGCCCCGATCCCAATGTTTTTCTCAGCGCCACGAATCAACTTGAACTCTAGGATCCACATATTCGCAAGTCATGTGACGCATACAGCGTTGACAAGCAGCGGGGGGAGCACATCACAACGAGTAAACCTCCGTGATAGGGATAATTTTGGCCGTGATAGTTCGAGCTGTGTACTGGAATTTGGTTTACAGAAGGATGATCTGAGTGGCGACTTCGTTTGGGTGTACTACGCTGAAGTCACCAGAGATGTGAGGATGCACATAAGCTTGTGTTCCTGTGTTCAACTTAAACGTCAATACGGGCATAACGAGGATCCAGATGGATGAAGGGAACGAAAGCCACGAAAGCATTATAAAGCATAGAGAAACTCATCTTGCGATTCTCTTGCGGGTGAACGATAATAGGACCATCCGCCACCTTGGCGTTGAGTGGGGACGCTAACGAGTTCAAGATCGTGATCGTCTGGTTAGAAGAAACATGCATTGTTGGGCCATGTTGGTGTGATGGGAGGG